CCAGGGTAACAACAAAGGAGATATTTAATAAAAGGAAAAAAGAAAAGAGAAATAAAAGAAGGCCTGTCTATCTAGAGAGACAGATTATAGTGTAGAATCCGGTCTTAAAGTAGACCTGGCTAAATAGCTCCTCGCAGCGAGATCCCAAGAGCAGTTGAGGGTTCTTCTCAGCCTTTGCTAATAGCTTAGGGGCTTTGTTGTTTGCTAGCTTGCAAAAGAGTAGGTGGAACTGGGTCTTGGCCTTCCTACACTTACAGTTCCCTGAATTGAGTAGCGCGTCGAAGTGAAAGAAGCGAAGATGGTAGGCAGTAAAGTCTCCGTGTCCAGAACGAGCAGCGATTAAGCGAGCGAGGACCTCTCTTGGTAACTGGAGAGACTTGGGCTTCAAGAACCAGGTACAGAGGCCTAGGTCCTTATTTGGAACTGGGAGTGTAGTATTCCAGAGGTTTCTTGCTAGCCTGATCCCTAGCTCCTTTACCTCTCTCTGAAGCGTGGCCGTACAGAGTAGAGGGAGGGGACCAGAGGGGGGTGTCCGCGCCGCTTTCCCTGCAGCTTTATCCGCAATCTCATTGCCTAGGATACCTATGTGGCTAGGGCACCACCTTGTTCGTATTTTCCCAGGGTAAGATTGAGTTAATTCGTTGACCTTGTTAAAGGTAAATCGTAAAACACAAAGTTCCCTTAGGTCTCAATCCAAGTAAAATTCAAGTTCAAATTCCTGGATTCTTTGACCCTCAACGATTAAAGCTTTACTTTATACAATTAAGTAGCTTCAAAATCAAAATTCACCCTCGAAACCAGTGGAGGGAGAATGCTGTTAGGATTGAGATCATACTAACCTTCTTCTCGTTGGCATTGTTTCTTCAAACTTAAAGGAACTTATATTGTATCTCAAATGAATCAAGCTAATGATCCTCTTTTAACATCAAAATACCTATGAAAAAATTGAAATGTCCTCATATCGAAAATCCCAAATTCTTCAAGCTCTGCCTGCAGACCCCATTCACAAGGCTCGATTGGAATCCATGTCTCTTTCTCCCGTATCTTTCACATTAATCAAATCGTTAAATTTCCAGACAAGTCGCGCTTCAGGGTTGAAATAGAAAGACCCACCAGCCCCCGAAATAAGAGTTGCGCATCGAATGCCATGAAGATACGTTATACCATCTGCGGAACACAATGTGAACTTTTTCAAACAGAGAAGTGTGGCATAGGGGGTATTTTTGCCAAAAGCACACATCATATGGCCAATTACAACCCTGAATTCGCTGTTGATTGTTGCGATAAACCAAGCCATACGATCAGAGGACTTGTTAGAAATCCAGCCAGACAGCCATCCAGTCAGAAACCAACCCAGCATTTTAGAAGCTACAATTTACAACATGTCAAACGGAGGATTTATATTCACACACACTTTGATTCTAAAGTCGACTGCGGTTCTTAAAGCGTTATAACCTCCAAGTGATGCACCAAGAATTCCAATCCGACTAAATTCAAGCTCCAATTCCGGGGTTCAATCCGAATATTCGAATATGAACTTAAGAACCCTCTCGATGGCCCTTTCACGATCATATCGCAAAAATGTATTTCCATGTCTCAAACTGATCCCTTGTCCTGGTCCATCAGAAGTAATGATCGCGTAGCTAAGCCATGGTCCTATACTTGGTGCAAAAAAGAATAGTTCTCGTAGCCACTATTAGCATTTATAATGACGGGGATATTTCTAATTGAATGAGCTTACTTACTCACCGTATTGACGTGCTTCAAAGAAAACGTACGAATTAAACTGGAAGGAAGTAAATTGTCTAAATAGTAAGTATTCCATGGATAAATGTGGCAATAAAGGCAAATGCAGATATTCGATTCCCAAACACCCGTGGAGGAATAGTGGGTTCGAAGCAGTAGCTGGGTGCCTCGTTTTAATGGAATATAACGTAAACAAAAATCCTAAGGACAAGAGGGAACAAGAAATCCAGAACTTCTGTCCCTAATCTAAGGTTTTCGCCTCCTGTGCTCCCAGAGGGTCAATATACACCGCAAAGCCCACGTAAAGCCCATCATATAATAAAATAGAGCCTTTGTTATACATCCTGATCCATTCAGTTAAGCCTGTGTGTCTTCTCAACCCTATACCCTGCGCCCTTTCAATATAACAGGCCTTAGCCTAAAACAACAAACCTTTCAGAATGTACCTAATTCAAAGAAGTTACTCTACATGCAGAGTCCGTAAAAACACCTAAAAACTCCTAATATAACTAACAAGTTTACAGTAAATCATTAACAAAACAAACCCCTCACTCCTATAAGCCATAAAACAAAAAGACAAAAAACACAGTCATGACCTTTTAAGATCGTGTCCTACATTAACGATACGATTAAAGTTAGCTGTAGAGCTTATATTTAGCTAGAATCGTATTTTAAAGATATATAAATTGCCGTTACTAGCGAATCTGTTTAGTGTATTCTAACTAAAGCTCAAGCATTTATACATACAGTACAAGGTCTATCACGGACAAAGTATCCGCTCCATGTGGATTTCCCGTCCAATCATCATAAGCTATAGCAGCTCAGTGAGATTGCTTGATATTTTTGATACCAATTCCCGCCACTGAGCGATTTGCTCTCTTTGGTAGAGCGTTGCCACAAGGTTGCGGTCGAGGCCTAAAAAAGATAATACGAGCAAACCCAACCTCCTTAAAAAAAATTCAAAAAATCCTTCAAGCCAAATCCAAATAAAAGTTCGAATCCTTTATTCTTTAGCTAGCTTACTGCATCATATAAAATCTACAAACGGCCAAAGCAAGGCAACAAAAGAACGAATACCATCAACCGAAAACGGAAGTTAATCAAGAGGAAAGCCGTTACATACTTCTTACTTCCCTCAAAAGTAAAGTTCCCGTCACCCATCACCCATCACCCTCATCACCAAGGCCTTAAATTCTAAATCCATAACACGGGCAATTTATAATTCTCCCCCAACCGAAAACCAACCGCAAATTCAGATAACAAGAGTAAATCAAAGCTCAGACACACAGTTCGCTTCAGTAATTTATCTACAGTACGGTATCTATAACCGCCTCACTATATTAGGTTCAATACGGTATATCCCTGTATATCCAAGTAGTGTAGTACACCATGCTTCCCCGCGTATGTCTCTGTTATGGGGGTTGGAAAGGATAAAGTGGTGAACGGACGTTCTTATCACTGTAAGGTTATATGGTGTGTGTTAAGATGTGGACGGTTGGTTTCCTCGCTAGCTTTATGATGTGGTGTAGGAAGAATTGAGATTAGTGGATGAGTAGATGGTATGGAGTTGGTGATCAGTGATGAAGTGTATTGTAGGTGGAACCTTGAAGTGTCGCTTTGGTAGTTCTGAGGTTCTACACGGGCTATAGTGCAGTATTTTGAAGTGGAACAGAAGAAGAGGGACGGTATAGAGTTGTGTTATTTTGCTGTTTGACCATTCTTAACGACTATCCCTCGCATGTTATTCTTTAATGATTTTTCATCATTTGATCTACTTATCCCGATTACCACCTCATACTACAGTACTTCCCTGGGCCTGGCTCGCTAAGCAAGTTTCGATCCAGCCTCTAAGAACTCAACAAGAAACCTCCAAACTCCTCCCCAGACCCACGACTCTCAATCACACAGAACAACCCTTTGCTCTCCTCCCCCGAACTTCGCTCAATCCATGAAAGGTAATATACTCCGACAATCATACAAACCAAGACCAGTCATCCATCAAATTACAGCAAAAATATCACAGGAACAAAGCAGTAAGTCTTCCCTACCTATCAACGTGGGTATTCTCATATATGAAACATCATGTGAGAAAATCCCGTATCGGTACTGGTACCGGTACAAAGAAACATCCAACAGCAAACGCTTAGTAATGGAACACCATCAGAACCTAGCCTAGCGTCTTTCATGTATCGTGGTCCTTGAGGCATCAACGTCTTCGAAAAAGGCATAAACAAAGTAAATACTTTATCTGTATATCCAATCGTAAGAATTCCAAGATCTCGATCTGGATTCGGAAAAGAGAATATCATGGTAACTGCACTGCTTAGACATTCTGGTAGAGAGACTAAATACCTTTCCACAAAGACTGAATTTGAAAGCTACGAAGCGATGAAATAGAAAGCCATCATTCAAGTTATCATTTCCGTAAACCCTCGTTCCATCCCTCGCATCTCTACAGTAGCTTTCCAGCATGTTTAGAAACCAACCCAACCCAAACCAACCCAAACCAAACGAAAAAACTTTTACGAGTAGCGGCAGCCCCACTTTCCAGACTGAACTGTAACGGTCAAACTTTACGTCGTCCTCACAGTATTAGGCGCATGATAGTTCCTTTAGGGAGATATGAATTTAAGCTCACAGATTTTACTTTTTACTTTTGGGGAATTTTCAGAGCAGGAATTTGGGTAGGGTAGGTGTTCTATGCTCTTCTGATCGTTCGGTTGGGGGGAGGTTAAATCTTGGGCCGGGAAATGGTCATGTGTTTTGTGTTTTGTGTTTTGTAGACGATGACCTCGAGATGAGAAACAGAAGATGGGGATTGAAGAATGTTTAGGATTCAAGATCGAAATTATGGTGGACTGTAGCTGTGAGGGCTGTGATGAGATGGCTCGTGGCTTGTGGGGTGGAAAGAGACGAGAGGAGAGGATTTGGAATTCCCATCCACTCGAGTGTTTTTGCTGAAGGAAATTCTCTAGTGCCGCACGCACTTCTACTGTAATAAACATTTGGAATACTCCGTATTTCTGCACTAAGAAAGTATGTCTAGAACAATCTACAATCTGCAGTAGATGAGGCTGATACGAAAGGATAACTCTGGTTGGGAGATTTTACGCGGCTGTCTGACCGACATTTAGTACATAGGAAGGAATATCCGTGAGTCGAGATGATGGATTCTTGGGTAGTGGTCAGACTCTTTCATGGTTCCATCGATTGATACAGTAGTGTATAATACAGTACAAGACAGTACTGTACTGGTAGTGTCAGGGAAGAATGTACCAGAAGGATTTGAGAATGATCATTAGACCGTTGTTCTGAGGGTGGCTCTCGGATGACGGGATCGGATGCAGTGAAGTGGATCTTAGTTAGTACAGTACTGTAGACACTCCGACTTTTTGAACAAGTACTGTGCGAGTACTCCGTACAGCCCTCCATCGTCAGTCAATGGATATCATGAAGATCCCCATCTGACATAGGTACTAGGGCATCTTCTCGTTATATAAGATCATGTCAGAATGTAACCTTACTCCTGATTGCCTGCTGATTGCCTGCTGATTGCCTGCTGATTGCCTGCTGATTGCCTGCTGATTGCCTGCTGATTGCCTGCTGATTGCCTGCCTACCTACTGTATGATTTCGAAGAAGAATGAATCGGAGTCACAGTACGAGTTCCGAGTTAATTACTCGAGTACCTCAAAGTATCAGACTTTGTATATCACATACCTACCTACTCCATCCTTGATTCCGTGAATCATGACCGACTACATTGCTTGAGAGCTAACCATGTGTTGCTCTCTGAGAATGTTTCCAGAAAAGTTTCATATCGGGTATTGGTACAGAATCGGTACGGCATCGTCATTATATGGTTGTAACGGACTAAGCACTAAGCGGAGTGCAAGGAATCTGGAGCCCTGGAGCCCTGGACAGGGAACCCGTACCTGCAGAATCCAGATGTCGATCAAATGGACGAGGACTGACAAGCTTTTGCCAAGTGATGCGCCAAGAGATGCGTTTTTTGACGTTCAACGTCCTTTCTTTCAGCAGATTTTCTTGTCGTATGTATGCTGCGCGGCATTGCATGGCTAAGCATCGCATACCCAAGCACAGCATCCCATATTTCATTCTCCCTACAGCAACCTCGGACGACGAGTCCTGTATTGTTCATACAGGTATGAGGAAGATCGTCTCCAACACCATCACTAGTGGTCATCGCGAGTTGGCAGCCACACTACGCTACGGCACCCACGGAGATGGACCACATCAACTGGTGAACATTGCTGCGTTGCTCTTTCCCTCCCAATTTTCACAATGCAAACCACAAAACTTACAAGTAGGTAATTCCCTCTCTTCAACAGGCCTCTGAGCAGGCCTGGGCCTGGGACTGGTAGTCCCAGTCTTGAGGAGCTCAAGGGATCCATCGCCCTCGTACCCAAACTCCCACTGACTCTTCAGCCGGTTGGTACAGTAAGCGGAAACGCCTTGGGATCGCATTGGTGGTTACCCATCAGCCATGGTGCTGCTCCAGCCGGGTAAGATTTACTGGTAGTGCGTAGTGCCGAAGAGGGTGACCCTTGAATGCTTGATGGGAATGCAGAGTATGAATGCACTCGCAGAGGTCTCCTTTGCTGCGTGTAGTTTATACTACGCACTCCATGTTTCCAGACGGCGAGGCACTCGAGAGTAGTATTACGGTGTATCGTGGATTGAGCGACTACCATTCACCGAGTTCTGTACGTGTACACCCAGGCTTAATGTTGACAGGTGTGCGATAGAATTAGGTTGCAGCATGGCACCGTGCAGTGTCTGCTTACTCGGACATTTTTACGAACATGGCAACCAATCGCCTCAGCCTCAATTGCAAATCCTCGCAACCAAGACTGTCTGACAATGTCTGCCGTACCTACCTAGATAGAACTAAAGAACCAATATAATCATGTGGTACTACCTAGCTGTATGTCCGTATGTTTAGGCAGGTCGGCACTTGCAATCACTTGCAATCATTCGCGAGCGTACTAGGTGCTTACTCAGTCCCTACTCGACTAGACCCTACCCAGGAACTTAGCAACCAGCGCATTTGCGGTACTTGCGCATACTTTGGGATTCCATGCTAATAACCTGGCCTGTGTGGATTCGGCTGGTGGCGCTTCCGCAGTCTATCTGCATCTATAGGTACCTATACCTAGGTACGAATGACTGGTATCCAAATCCAATCACCAGTGCTCAGCACCAAGTCACCCGCACATTGCCGTCCAGTCCATTGCAGTGCTTATACGAGTATTACTTTACTAGCCACTCGGGCACTCGACCTAGTCTGTTCCTCCTGACGATTCTCGTTCTCTGGACTTCCTGTCAGCCAATGATCATCAGGCGATGACGATTGGCTACCTAGGTATGCTTTCTATACTATTTATGCTCTCGATGCTTTGCCAATAATGGGCTTTGCAACATCCGTGCTAGCGATGGATGAGGAACTGAGCCCTGGGCGGAGTGGGCAAGGCGAGAGATATTGGATCATGGGTAGGGAATGGTCGTGTAGCTACGAGGACTGACCGGGACGGGGGAGAGGGAGGGGGAAGGGGTATATTAGAGGCAAACCACGTCCCGTCTCTGTTGACCTTGTCGCACCAACACATTCGAGACTTTCTCAGAATTGCACGCTCCTCTCTGCTCCTCCAGCAGAGTTCATCACTGATCAAGCTTCAGAGCCCCTGGCCTCTAGCCCCTAATTCTCCTAACCGCCAGTGTGTGGGTGGGAGTGTGGATGCGATCCCCGCCTGCACAAACTCAATTCCTAGACCACCTCCTCCTCCTCGGACTGCACGAGCCACACGTACCATTCACTCCATTACACAGCACAGAGCTACAAGAACACAGTCACGAACGCCAATTTCTCTTATGAACGACGAACGCAGCCCACCTGCACTGCACACCCATACTCCACTCTGCTGCATCCACCCTCCTTACCAGCATTGCTCTGCACCGTATCTGGTATCTGGTTGCTTCGTACCTCTGTTGTCTGCTTGCTCTCCTTTACCATAACCATACTACACCAGTAATAATCACCCTCAACCATCTACCAGCCATGGACTCGATTCTCCTCGTTCGAGATCTGCTCAATGCCACCGAGGGCGCAAATGGCGAGCCGGTCCACCACAAACCTGGGCCCCATATCACCCATGTGCCTACAGAATCGATATCAAGAGCCGCTCCCTATAGCGCTCTCATTCTCTGCATCATGTTCGTCGTCATCTTTGCTGTCCGTCACTGGCTGCTGGAGGCGTTCCTGTTGGAGAAATACTATGGAACCATCTACACCAGCATGGACGAGACGAATCGAAGAGGTTTTCTGAACCACCACATTGCGGTAGCCACGAGGTTGTTAATTTTCATCACGGCCGCCTATCCCTTTATTGATGTAGCTTTTGTAAGCGCGTCCCTCCATTCGCCATATGCGGGATCTAAACATGTCACCATGGGCGATGTTTTGCTTGTTATTTCTCTGGGCTTGATAGCCATGTATGTGTTTGAACTGTTCTACCGGACCAAGATTTCTCCTATTAGTGCTGGACACCATATTGGGGTAATCATGATTGGTTCATTTGCAATTGCTATTTCGATGGATTTGGAACACCAGCCCGATGCTACAATTGAGTTCGTTCTGTGCTTGGTATGGGGTAAGTAGTCTAATTACCCCTGAGTACATCTACATCCGAACTAACAATTTCTAGGCGCCTTTGATATCATCTCCGAATTCTTGCCTCATTGCGCTATCATCCTATACCGAGTCTACCCCACTCGTCACAACTTTCTCCGCAAGGTATTCTACATCGGCATGGTCAGCACCTTCGCCAGCACAGTCCTCGAGACTATCCTCACCATGTGTCTCTTCGGGTCACTCTGGGATCGTTGGTCAATTGGTTTCAAAGTCGCCACTCCTATGCTTCACGTCCTCTTCGCATCTTGCCAGCTCTGGGGAACCTGGATTTTCTACAAGATGATGAAAAAGCAAGAACGTCTTATTAATGAACAATCTGGGATGCCAGGTGATATGGAGAGAGCTTTAATGAGAGAGAAGAGCGACGAGACGCAATCCGTTTCCAAAAAGTCCGCAGATGTTGTCACCAGGGAAATTTCCTCCAATTCTCAGAGTCCTGGTTCATAGAATTCTAGGACGAACTCGCAGATCGAGTTCAAGGAGAGCTCTAGGCGGTGCGACGCCATGGAAGCTGCTCCTATGTTTTGGAATTCCACTTCTTTTTCCTCTTCTTGCATGTTCTTATACCAAACCCCCATTCTTTTTAATCCAATTGGGTCTATATAACGGTGTTTGCGGACGGGGGCTGCATGGGGGGAAATTGTGCATTTGCATCGGAGAAATTGGCGTTCAGTACATATGAAAATCTTGGGTTCTGGACTTTTTTTTCTTTTTTCGTTTCTTTTGATTTTGTTCCTTTCCTTCTTTCTTGTGTCTACCTTCTTTTTTTTGGTACTAATGAGGCTCGAGGGATTCAGTTATAACGCTACTCGATATGAATAGCCAGACTCGCGGGAACAAGAAACAGTCAGACAGGTTAGCCCCGCATATTATACAAACATTCCCCTCGCTGAGATAGGAGGAGCGAGAATAGTTCGAATTCCAATATTGTAATAGATGAGTGAAAGAGAAGACTTTAGAATAAATATAAAAAAAATATAAAAAGAATAATTCATGAATAAATAACTCTTGACCTGTTCCTTCATCCATTCAAACCTCCCTTATAACCCAATCTACATTCACAAACAACAACCTCACATCTACCCACCAAGTATTAGCTCTTGAATAAAAACCTTCCATATCCTATCCTATACTCCGTACCATACAACACGAAAATATCGCCATCGTGAATATCTCGTCTCGTGTCGTCCTTTCTCACGGGAAATAGCCACCTCGGACTCGGTTTGCCCCTCCCGCCGCGCCGGCCCCCCCCCCCTTTTTTTTACTGTATCTTCTTGCTTTTCTTTTCTTTTGCTTCCTTTTCTCTTGGCGACTCCTTGGCGGAATATCTCGTTTTTTATGATCGGCCGGGTGGTGCCGTGGCGTGGGTACCGTGGGTATGTACCGTACCNTTTTTTTTACTGTATCTTCTTGCTTTTCTTTTCTTTTGCTTCCTTTTCTCTTGCAGACTCCTTGGCGGAATATCTCGTTTTTTATGATCGGCCGGGTGGTGCCGTGGCGTGGGTACCGTGGGTATGTACCGTACCGTACCGTAGCGCTTCTGGAGGCGCTGGCTGGGCAAATCTTGTTTTTTGGGGGGGAGGGGAGGGGGTTTGGATGGTGGATGTTGGATGTTGGGTTTTTCGATGGCGGATGGGGGCGATGTTCTTGTGCCTTTTTTTGGGAGGGGTTTTGGTGGGTGGGTGAGTGAGTGATGGGGGGTTACAGTAGTAATCCCTCCGGGCAGCCAGCCGGGCTGTGGGGTTCTAGACATGCCCTGCAGGTGGAAGTTGGGGGGTTCTGGTCTAGATGTTGAGTCAGGAGTGCAGAGGGGTACAGAGAAGAGAGTCAATAAAAACCCTTCGATTTCTTACTCTGGTTCCCTTTTTTTCGATGATTTGGAATTACAGTAATTGGATTTGTTGTTGGTAGGTAGGTGGGTTTTGTGTTTGTGTTTGTGTTTGTGTTTGGTAGATGGGGATGGGGGGGACTTGGTGCTGTTGGTGCTGTTGGTGCTGTTGGTGCTGTTGGTGCTGTCGGTGCTGTCAGTGCTGTCAGTGCTGTCAGTGCTTTGGGTGTGGATTTTTGGGCTTAGTACGCTTGGAGAGGTTTAGGGGATTGGGGATTGGGGGAAGTAGAAGGGATTGGGATGCTGCTAATGAGGGGTATTTCATTACTATCCCATCCTCAGCTTAGCTTAGGTACTTGGAGGATCTCCATGGCAAAATCACAGAGTATATACAGTACATGCCGTATATATAAACCGCCCTGAATTCATTGAAATCTAACTGAATCAATCCCCTACAAAGTTGAAAATCCTCCTTCCACTCCCGTAAAATCCTACAGTACCTAGTAATGAACTATGAAGGAAAACTATACGGGTACTATCACTCGTATTATCGTATAAGAACCTATTACATCTCTGAGAGGCTGTACTACACTATACCTCGTACCACCATCCAAGTTCCTTCCATCTCTATTTATGGCATCTCCTCGTATCTTACTACCTACAGTCGGAGAATCCGATTTGGAACAAGGATATGGTTATAGCTGTAAACAATCCAATTCCAGACGTCTTTCGGGACAGTGGATGGCACGGTAGATAAAATAACACAACATCCACAAACATTTTCTCCCACAGTACCATCGATGTACCCGAGTACTCACCAAGCCAAGAACCACCATCAGATTTCCGCCAGCAAGGCAGGGCAGGGTACTCCGTAAATTCACGAAGTAAAAGTCCAAGCCTCAAGCCTCAAGCAAGATTGCCGAGATTGCCGAGATTACCACTGAATGTACAGGAATCTTCTTCGATCGGCTGATTGCTTGTTTTCCATGTGGGAGAAGCTTGTTTTTTTCTGTGGCTTGCGTGCTTGCGTCCTTGCGAGACTTTTGGCGGTTAGGGCTGACATGATGGTTTCAAGATTTCATTGGCATGAGGTCGGTGGGGTTTACGAGGCTGGCTTGCGATTTGGGATTTTGGGGGGGAGAGGGGTGGAATGGTGGTTGAGGGGATTGGTGGTTCTTGGAGATGTGTAGGGTATGAGGACCTACTTTTGGTTCACTGGGTGGGATTGGAGTGGAAGGGAGATGGAGGGAGGTCGTGATTAGATCCTGGATATATCATGTGAATGTCACCTGCTATCTACGCTGCCCCGGGCCCCGTCGGCCAATTTCCACTGTCATACTATTCAGCTATCAGCTCGGTGACTGTGCTTAGTCCTTTCAAAGGCCTTGGTTCAGACTTATTATATCAAATCATTATTTCGAAGATACCCCAGTACTGTAACGACGAATAAAGTCACGTTTTTCTCTAGTAGGCATTCCAAGTTTTCATTTCCTTTCGTTTCGTTTCTACCTACGAGTATACAAAAATACAAAAGAGCAAACATAGAATCCGACACTGAACTACTTATCCCCGCCAAGTTCTCACCATGACACATTGAGGTGCTCTTGGAAATCTTACCTATTCCTGTCACAGCCTTACCAAGCGTCCTACAACCCCTAACCCGACACCTTGAGTTGCAAGTTTCCGACCGACTCACCAAGTCTTTCTCTCGCCGAAATCATACGCCTTATCCCGATGTGATTCGTATCAGATTGCTACGGAAGCGTCCTATATTCTGATGTACGCCTTCTGACTAGATGCTATCTTAGATGTGGTAATACATGTTGTTCTCCCTTTTGTGTTGTGTAGACTTGGGAGGTCTTGGGAGTTTGATTTATGTCCTCTTACTCGAATCACCGAATTTGTGAGATTAGAAAGTGATGGAATGCGTGGAAAACGTATGGGAAATGACGAGAGTGAACGATTATGGCTTCTGATGTTTGATAGGGAGCAACGTGTGGCATCTGAAATATGATTCTAGAGATTCTAATAGAACATTCCAGAGTAGAAAGTTCCAGAACTCCATGGGAATAGAACAGAGTGTTCTAGAGGCTAAGGCTCAAAAATGTAGAATGTTGGAGAGTATAAATATCACTTTCTACCTAATAAGATCGCAGTTTTTTAAAGTACAAAAAGTAGCATATATGATTAATTTATTGTTTTGACTTCAAGAGTAGAATTCTAGAATATAATAGACCTCCTTATAATAGAATAGAATATTATCTCCTCCGCGCTCCTTATCCCGCTAAGCTGTTTTCCTATGTTTAGCGAGCCCCTGATTGAAAATTATCTCATGTTAGATAGAAATATAGGAAGAATACACGGTCGGATTTTAAGGTTAAACGTAGTATTGTCTATAAATAAGAGGTTACTAAGTTTATATAAGTTTTCTTCAGCTATGGAAGTTATATATAGAACTAAGTTAAATATTCCAATGGGGTTTGCTAGAATCCGCTTTACACACTCGTAATTCGTTCGAAAACATTCCTCGTGGGAGAAGGAGCACGGAGGAGATAGGGAAATCTAGAATAAGATGGAATGCTAGTAGCCGAGCGTTCAAGTCTCTGAGAGAGTAAGAGGATCTTTGGAGGTAGTCCTGTATTGTAAAATAGAATTATCGAAAAATTAGCGTTCGAATGTAGACAAAAATATTCAACTTAATTAGTTGAACTGATTAAGTAGTACTTGGGTTACAAAAAAGGTAAGTAGAGGAGAGTAGGATCAAGAAGCTCCTAAGCAGAGTAGAGTAAGTAGATTTGTAAAGCTTATAAGTAGAGTAGAATAGAGTAGGTGTACCAGTAGCAATACTCTACTCTACCCCCCCGTAGACAAAGTTTTTACAAAGGCTATTTCATTATTTCGGTTATTTGGATTAATCAATGGAAAGAGATCAATGAAAAGTTTCAAGACAAATCGAAAACAATAGTGCGATATAACAATCATTCTAAGTATTTCAGACATTCTAATACTTGGTACTTACTTACATTCATAGAAAAGAGAAACAAATCTCTAATAACTTTCTTGCACACCAGGAGTCTACCCATTTCAAACGCTGCGAAAAGTCAAATATAAGAAAGAAAAGAAAAAGATATATGAACCTGAAGTCACAAAAATACCGCCCATATGCTACTATATTTACACCCATATGCTCGCTAAAGAAGCCTATCAACTCCAATATAATGCCACTCACCGCATCCACACTAATTCACTGTCCATGTCGGATCAAATTCCAAGCTGGAACTAGGAAAGAGGCTCTGAAAAAGTGGGTATCATACTTACAAAAATAAACCTCCCACTCCGAAACAACGATTAACGACAGCCTCATAGCAAATCAGTGCTTCCCGAATAAGCCCTTCTCTTTATCGACCTGGAAACCCACTACATATCTCCTATCCGGCCCCGTCTCGCCATCCGCTTTCATCTTAATAGGTATGGTTGTCAATATATTCACAAACATATTTCCGTCCTTCCGAAAGTTGACCAACGTCACCTGCGCCTCCAGTCCCTGCTTCAGCTTCTCGCGGAATAATTTCAGGGCCCGTTCATTCTCGATGATGATACTAAGCCGTAACGTCGCTTTCATGTCCTGGGGTGGTATCTGGAGGAAACGACAATTCTTGCCGAGGATCTCGTTTTGACAATATCCTGTCAGTCGCTCGAAGTACTCGGAGCAGTATACTATGGGACAATCGGATTTTTCGGCATCGCAGAGAACGAGGGCTACGGATGTATCGACGTTGCCTAGCTGAATGACGGGATTTGGACGACCGCGGACACACATCTAAAGAGGTCGAATTACGCCGGTCAGTCATGTTACATGGACAAGCAAGTGAAAGTGGCGTAACACCGACGAAAAAAAGAAAAGGGCAGTGGGGATCGGCAGACAGCTCCTATCCAATAAAATATTGGAAAATAGTAGGTAATGGTTGGTTCAAAATCGCTAAGAGGGAAACACTCACAAGAATAGAAAGTATATCATAGCCACTTGGGGAATATATATGCTGAGGAATGAGGGCGTCCTTTACAGGCTGGTATCCGGGATTCAAACCCACATTCGCCCTCATGGTACTGCCGCCAGAGCCATGTCCTCCAGAGAAATCAAATTGCTCATTCTGTTGTTCTTGGTTGCGTCGACGAAACTGAGTAGAAGAGTATTTGATAAGTACGGATTTTTCATATCCCAGACTTCATGTCCCAGCCACTGGAAAAGGAAGGTAAAATACTGGGAAAAATGGGGGACACGAAACCCACACACCTCTTCGAGCCTCTCAGTTTGCTGGCGAAACTGCTCTTGACGGGCCTGATCACTCATATTCGCAGCGATTAGATGTTCTCAACTGCCTTTTTTATTCTTTTGTTGCTCTTTCTCGTTGTGGTAAATGCATCCCGGGCGTTTTTCTCTCGTCGTGAAACACTCCTCTAGGCCTATTGTGGAGGAAGGAATAAACAGATGAAATGTCCGACTAGCTGGGACTTCTCAATCGAACGTGGAAGATCACGGATGGCATTTTTCAGTGTGGATCGCCACTCTACTATAAAAATAGGTTGTTTTTCAAACTGCCCTTTTCTTGCCTGATTGGAGCGCAGATGTAGGGATATGATAATAATGGGTGAGCTGGCTGGGCGATCCACCCAGAAAGTGTTGACGAACGCCATGATTGTGATTGACTTTAGTTGGTCCGATCTGAGGCGTGTGAGGAGAGGCAGCGCCCATCGTGAAAAAGAATAAGCGAATTGGACATGGCATGGCATGGCATGGTCCCTCGCCCTCGCCCACCAAAAACGGGAGATGGCAAAGTCACCCAACCCAAACCCAAACCAACTTTTGCCCTAACACCCCCACCACTATCAGCCTTCTCCGCCTACATGAAAACTAATGGACGGCAGATTTCCTCTTTGGGAACACCTACCGATCGCTCAAGGTCTGGATGGTACGGAGGACAGTGCAACGCGCAGTCTCCCGCGGACGACATCTCTGGCATTTGAAACTCCGTGACACTTCGCTGCCCATTTCTGTGCTCGATTACATGCGGAAACGTTGTTTTCCGATGAACCTGCCCTTTTCACGTGACGCAAATGAGGGGGATCTGCATGCACTTCGGGTAGCGCCCCGTAATTACATATGTACGTACAAAATCGAAATTCGATCCATGAGCTCTTTTTTGCCATGCTCAGATCTGGGTTTCGGTCTGCTATTTGAATTGTCCATTGATGTGTCCCAGCGTTGGCGTTTGTGCTTATGGACCTGGTGGACGGGATGTGGATCCGCAGGGTCTCGGTTCAATCACTGGATCCTGTAGCACGAAAGCTAGAATTTACCAGGTAGATTTGGATGGATTTTTTGGCTGATTGGCAGAGGGGACTGCGATCCCTCAATAATGATATCAGGCAGAATCTGCTTTAGGTACTTTACGAAACAAGAATATTTTGTCTGCTAGCCACGATCCTTGCAACTGTACAATAAACCTTCACGACCCCAGACTAGTTTTTACGGCTGCAGGTCGGAAGTCTTGAGGTAGGCAGTCTCTTGTGGGAAATTTGTGTAAGAGCTCCAAGACCCTTGTTTTGAGTTATAGGGCTATTTTTGAGTTACCATAGCCTTTTCCTATCAAAATAATATTTCATTTCTCTGAACATCGCTGGCAAACCTCGATATCCTTTTCTGTTCAGGCATGAATGAAAAAAGAAACTTTAGGCAACGGTTTCTAAATTCCTCCATATTTATGCCCATTAGAGAGGGTTTGCACAATCTATCTAGTGTCTTAGTTACGGTTCGAAATTTTACTCGTTCATCGAAATTATACTGAGGTTAGCTTTTGCAGCCGATTTTCTTGATAGAACTCCGTAGTAAAGGGGGTGGAAAGTTAATGCTGGACACTGTTACGTAGATCATATGTGAAAAAAGTCTATATCGCCCAGGTATGAGTCTTTGATTCGCTGGTTTAGCTAAAAGGCGGGGCCAAGACGTACTATGATCAGCGACAGTGTCCAGCTTTAACTGTCCACGCCCTTTACTCGAGTTCGAATTGGGGTTCGTACTAAATCCGTGCTAATCTCAGTGACTGTATAATTTGTGGAGACAAAAGGAGATTGAGCGTAATTATATATACAGTATATAAGGAAACCTAAATACCAAGTTATTCCAGAAGTTAGTGGCGAATAGTGCTCAATTGAGTCTGGCTCTATGCAAAAGTAGAAGCTATTCAGACTTCCCGCACGCGTTCGTACACGGCTCACTCACACTCATCCGTAGCATAAGGAACACAGACCTGGCTCGAATTACATCAAGTATCTGTGACATTCAAAATCCCCACGTGCTAAAACGTATTGACAAATTGAGGAATCCGCTTCGTTCAGACGTCTAGTAATAGCTAAGTGGCGTAGGCACTGTAAGATTACTATATTAATGTTCCGCTTCTAGAAAAATTCAAGTTACAGTTCAAAGGAGTATGTTAGCATAACCGGAAAAAACTCGAAAATCTCATATATCCACTGCTATCCTAGAAGAACAAAGAAACAATAACAGGACGAGCCAAGTAATGAAAAGAATTCGAGTTAAAATGAAGCTTTTCAAAAAATGTATACTTGAGAATAATCCCCTCATAACCAACTTAGTACTCTGTACCTTTTCCAGGGTCAACCTTCAGAAAAGATGCCTATCGTTCGGAGAAATAACAACCATTGGCACTCTTAATCAAACACCTGCACGATTTACTTCAAAATAAAATTATGTAGTGATGTTGTATTCGCTGCGATGCCGTCAGTTCAATCGACTGTGAAAATAGTCAATTGGAGAGTGCCTAAACTCCAATGGATAACTGCATCTACCTATTCGTTGGGCGTTTCACGTGACAACCTGATATCCATCCGCAGATGGACCCTCCCATGGAACCTTGTCAAACCTGGGGTTGAGCTTAACCTGTTTCTTATACTGTACGAATACGCTATTCACTACCAGTAGGAAAGGACAAGAAATCCCAGAAACTTTGAAGGGGTTTAGTATTCATTAATTTGAGAGAACCTTCCGAGGTTGGAAAGTGTTAGAGAGAACGTGACCTACAGAGAGCTGGAGAGCTGGAGAGCCGGAGCATGTTGTTACATATTACATATTATGCAGTTAAGTATTTGTTAACCACCATAGCGGATATGTAGGGCATAGACCCTAGGTACTAGGGTTCCTCATATACATTCTCACCCAGTTTATAGAGAGTCCCTTTCTTTCTAGTTATATTTGGCTTAGCCTGATTCGGAACAAGAATCTGTGGTCCACCATAAAAATTAGAGTTTTATACTCGGTACGAATCGTAGTTCGTATCGATTATAGGTTCCATTTGGCTCGTAAATCGATTGTAAGGCAAGTACCACTCCGAATGAGTAATCTGGCCTTTTTTGGAATACTTGTATATAGTACAAAACTAAAATACGGCCCAACCCCTTATTTCTGTCCTTATTCGCTTATTCCACCCACTGCTAACACCACTACTTATCCTATACATAAGTATATCTTTATATTGAAATCATGAAACATGTCCTTTAAAGACGTCGTACTAGTGATAGGAGAGCAAGAACGGTAGCTCTTATAGCTATCGCTCGCGTAAGTAGTGTCGTTAGCATAATTATATATAATGTTAGTAGCTGTGCTATAACACTACTATCACACGTCTAATAAAAATAGATAATTCTATCTAAATGGGATTCAAATCAAATATAAACCTACCTTATTCGGACTTATGATCGATAAGCGAATAGAGTTTTTGTGAGTTTTGTGATTCCTAAGGTACGCTAGCTAAAAACCTGATTCCACTAATCTGAGCCAAATGGACCCTAATACAACTTTACCATTACATATTGGTTGCTTGTTCCCTCGCACCATTCCACCGAGAACCATTTGAGATACTTTAGTGACATTAGTAAATAACTAATATCTGTAATTTATTACGGAAGCGAATTCCATGTGAGAAAATAGATGGGGTATTCTGGGAATCGTTTCTCTTCCAGATGCTTATATCAAGACTATGTTTTACTACCCGTTGGAAATAAGAAACCATCTTGAATTGAAATCCCTATTTGATGGTACTCTCTTGCCCCTGTCTCTTCTCAAATTTCCCTGCTTGATGACGAGCTGAGTGTCGAGGTTCTGGTCGTCAAGAAGGATGGCAAAATCTAGAGTCCTGGGTTGCTCGCTCCGGCTGCACATTGTTGTCCCGTGTGCTACAATGGCTAGAAAATGGTCCAAGTCGAGAAGGGAAGGCACGATAATGGCAAGATCCAGAGTATGATCCCCTCTCGCCTCTTATGATTACACCTTTTCCTCATCGAAGTTACATTACGGGTGTGATAAGCTCTGCACAAAAACACCAAACCCCAACTCCCTAATCCCTTAACTGGATTTCTGAAATTAGATATATGAAATTGGTTGCAATATCATATGAGCTCCAATAATCCAGAATCCATCGTCGATATATTGGCTATGTTGGCTACTTGAAGCGGTAGACTAACATGATTGCCATGTGGAAGTTTCATACTGACCCATAACCAAAGCACCTTCTCTTAATTCAATTAACACCACTTTTCCATTCTGAAAATACAGATATAACACAAGATTCGAAACATGATTGGAATCACCACAAGCCGAAATTCGTATCAATGCGTAAGTATTACAAGGACGACAACCCGCTTCCATTTTTCATTCCACATCTCCCACCCCTTCCATTTCTTTTACCCAACATGGATTTTCAATCCCGGGCACTCACTCCTATATCAAGGTGAAAGATTAGGTACCGAAGACTGTATCTCCACCACCAATTCAAAACTATCTCATCCATATCTCCACAATGAAATCCATCTCCCAAAGGTTTAATTGTAGAACAACCCCACCCATCCTATCGACCAAACAAAACCATGGCCTCCTCCCCAAAACCGGGGAAGGGGAATCCAGGACCGCTAGAACCCATAACCTTTCTCGAAACATAGAAACTAATACTCCTAGATTAAGCAGTGAGCCGAACCCTCAAATCTTCCATGTCAACTCATAAGCGGCAAGAAGCAATCCACAACCTCAGAGATTAGAAGAAAAAAAGGCCGGGGCAAATAACCTCCAAGTTCCAATCCCAACCCAAAACCTCCAATAACTCCTCATTATCCCAAATCCTTTCAGTAACCAACTCAATTAATCGAGCCTATTCCAGGCAAGGTAGTGACAGCACCTCGAGTACACCCAAAATATCTGATCTACTTCCATAAAGTGATTAGAAAAGAGGTAAAGGCGTGGTCACACACTGCCACTTTTCCATTCATCAGGCGTCGATTTCTCATGAATTCTGCTTAGAGTATGGTAAGACATGCAGAGAAAGATGATCCATCTACCTGGTTGAATGAGATCGGAAACTGAGGGATGGAAGGACTGTTTATAAGGTAGACAAAAATCAAATGAATCAATAAAAGCCAGGATGTATTTATTTTCGAAAAGAAGTAAATCCAAAGCTGGCGGACAATATAACGTGGCCTAGATAAAACTAAGGAAAGTGACACCGACTCGTGGATTCCCGAGAGCTTGGGTATCCTGAGCGAGGTGCGTGTGGGATACGATATGGAGCAGGTGTAAAAGGTAGGAAGTCGCCGGACCCGGTTTCGAGCAGATTAATTATACAAAATCAATATCTCTTGTTTTCAAAACCGGAATGAGATGGGATTCCTGGAAAGCAAGATTACCTAGAATCTATTCAATCACTCACAAGATCGAGAGATACCCCATAATATATGATATCATTGCCAAACTACCTACATACTCATTCCCCTAGTCTCTGCCCCATACGGTTTCCGACCATACACGACAACCCTATTCCCAAAACGAATTAGCATCCACTAATGAATCGAAAATCGAAAGGAAAAAGAGAAAGAAGGAAAAAAAACTCACACAGGAACATA